GCCTATTACTATCATTAATATGGATTCATTATGACGAACAAGGTGAGCACGATACACTTACCTCCACGTGGTGCACTCTGAGTAGTGTATACACATACATTAGAAGTCTATAAAACGGCAGTTGACTGACTTCAAATTACTATGGCCGACTGAATATCATATTCGACCCCTTCCACGGTGCTTATCTTGCCTATTCTCTGCCTTTGTATCTATCTGTCTCCTTTAAATCTGTGAATCATTATTCTGTCCCCCTCTCGTCTTTTTGTCACCTTGATGTTTCTCCTCCTCTCTATGAAGACCGAAGTCAGTTAAAGGGCTAATGATAGCTATCAAAACGCCTGCCATTTGAAATAAATAGATTATGACGAATACCTCGGGTAGTCTTTTTTCTAAGGCAACATGTTATTTATTCTGATGTAACAGCATATACATAACACGTGTAATTTTGTAAACTTTGGTTTTTCATATCTTCCAGATCACCATAATAGATGGACACGTCATCGCACGCACGCACGTCATGATTTGGAATGTGCGGGGTGCGTGTAGAGCATCGTTCAGAGACATTTATCTATTAATATTCGCCTAAATTGCGCTAAATTAGTTTGATAACTATTCGCATTTTCCGATATGATATGATATGCAAAAAAACATGTTCTATGTAATGTGTCTCTTTCCTCCTTAGCTTCGCTATAGCTTGGCTAGTTCCAGGAGTCCAGCCAGATATAGGAGATACTGCCATAGAGATTTCAGTCAAGGCTTCACTAGGGTAGTAGTCTGCAACAAATAACACTGCAAGAAATTTATTTGGATGTGTTTCTTTTCGTCAGCTTACAAGTCCCATATATTATTCACTTCAACGTGTGAATCCGAATATCCCTTTTCAAAGTAAAAAACTTCATTAATGTAAATTATTGGGTAAACTTGAAATTAAATCAAGAATATTGTCCTTATATCCATATGGCTTAAATTGGTTTTTTTATTCCAGGAATACATTTTCGTATTTAATTTAAGAAATTTAGTTAGCTAATTCAAAATTCTCTTGAAGTCCCAAAACTAAGATTCATATCGCCAAACTCATCAGACATTGAACCTACACCATACGACTACCATCCAATCTCCTCGGCATTAACTCTTCTCTTCAGGTTATACCCTCCAAAACCTAAACCAGGACACTAACTCAATTATCACCTATAATAGTTAGTTCATGGACCAACTTTAGGAATGCCCTCATAATTCGGAGACTAATCATTATTACGCCATGCAGCAGCAATACTCTGTCCATCTGACCATTCCATCCATAACTACTTATCTCAACTTCTTGCTACTTAACTATGCTCTGGTGTAGACGTGTTGCATTAAATAAAAAAATATTAATAAGGATATATTCTGCTACAGGATTTATCAAAAATTTTCACATATACAAAAACGGAGGCACTGAACAATTCAGTCCACTCCGAAAAGGTCTGCCAATGCCAGGGCCACAATTTCACTTCTCTCGTCACTTCCGCGTCGTCTCTGACCTCGTTTTGAATTCATACTCGGTCGAGTGAGGGGTGCAAGGGTGCTGATTGATAGAGACTCCTTGAATTTCTCTGCAACAGGTACCTGATATATGCAGAAAATAAATGGGAGCATTAGAGAAATAATGACTTAAGGAGAGTGGGGGGGGGGGGGGGGGGGAGGGGGGTTGAGGATTTATGAAATTTTAACATACTCCAATAATCGGTTGAAGTAGAGACTTCGATCGATCTCTAAGTACCTTCTCTGTAGGCGGTTTGACTGGATTAAAGACGATTTGGATATATTTCTGAAATAAGTAACATATTTGTCAAAAGGGGGAGGAATAAACGCCCAAGGAAACCAAAATTTTCAATGATTTAAGCAGATTTTTCCCGAAAGATTCTATGAACGAAATTCGTGACCCAGGTATGAAATTGGAGACTATAATCACTACATATTCATATCCAGAAATAAAGTTTTCCCCCTGCCATATTAATGGATAGCAAAGTACATAACTCGTTCTTAAAAATCCGATCTATAAGTACATATGCGCAGCTTTTTACCCAAATATAGTGAAAAATAGGATGGTCAATTGAGTTAAAATTCTTCGATTTCCTTCTGAGGGATCTTTAACCTTCCTTCCTTCCAAGCAATTATAGCCACAGAGTACCTCAGTGAACAGCCTCGATTGTGGTAGTTGTAACACAAAGTTGCATGTTAGTACTGTACTTAGATACTAAGTACTAAGCTCTACAACAACACAAGTGGAAATGTGTGATGAGGAAAGATAATTACACATCCAAAGACTAAATAAATCCAAAATTTCAAAACCGACCTTAATGTCATCCACATATTGATTATTTTGTCCATTGTTTTGGCAACTATTTAAAGCGGAGAGAAGAACTGGAGCAAGATGCAGGTTAGCCGCCTCCACGCCACCTTCGATCAACAGCATCGCACGACCAATTAAATTGAAAACAGCTGAACCAACATCCGGGAGATTGTGCCCATTGATCTGCAACGCCCTTATTCCACCAATCAGTAATTCGCTTGCGAGATTAGGCGGTAGGAGTAGGGCAGTGTTTGGAGTGGACCTGCGAAGGGCCTACAAAAAGTGGAATCAAGTTTTATTTATAGCACAGTTAAGTTAAACCAGGCACGCTTAAGGCCAGAAACACCCACATAGTCGATAATTTTGACCAACAATTGAGCAGCTTTAGCACAGACTTTGCTGTCTGGCCAACTAATAGCCGCAATCAACCATGATGAGAATCTCAACAGCATTTCTCCATTGGCGCCACTTGTATTGGAGAGGAAAAGAGAAGAAGCGACCGGTCCAAAGGAAGCATTCAAAGAACCTGTTTGAGAGCTCTCCTGCTGTTGGGTATCTTCTGGTTCCTCGTCCATTTCTGTACTTTCAAATTCTCCAGCCCCCCCACCTATTGCCATTTCAGCAGAGTCTGTCGGTTTCCTTGAAGCAGAACCGGTGAATGCCAGCAGAAGACCTAGGAAGACGCTAATAACAATCAAAAAGCTTCAAGGCTCAGGGGAGTGAATAGTTCTTAACACAATTAAATCTCTTCAGTTGAGTTATATCACCAGTCTATTGACTAACATTAAGCAAATCATTCGAAAGATATTCTGTCCACTGCTGCCTCGAAGCATGTCCTTTAGCATATAGAGCAGTGCAGGAACAAGAACTCAGAGATTACACGATAATACCTTCTCTTTTCAAATTAGAGGAAATCGACATCGGATCACAAATTAGTCACTTGGCCAGACAAAGGAGAACCTGGATAGGTAGTTGATTATACTCAGACATCTCTATTCCCTGTTGTTAATCACGAATATATCTACCGAATTCATCAGCTACGAAACAGTTGGAAGCCGATTGAAAAGTTTCTATAAACCTTAGTGAATCTTACCAACTTCAAACAATGCGCGCTGAATTATCCATTAGTGAATTCCCACACCCGTGTCTGAGGAGCCAATTTAGTTAAGTCGGTAGCCAAGTATTCTTTGTTTTTTCAGATTTATTCGATTGGATTGATTCCAATATTAAAATCACCCTTCAAGGATTTTCCATACTTCTGGGTGTAGAAAAAGTTAGCTGAGACGAAGCAACAATGACAAGCCTTCGTTTAATCCAAGTTCAAGAAATCAAGGCACAATGCCTCAACATTCATTCTCTCCTGTATGGGGTGCGGGATAGACTTACCTACACGTGGTGCATTCTGGGCAACGTATACTCATACGGCAAAAAAGTCTATAAACCGGCAGTTGCCTAATGACCTCAAACTACAATGGCCCCACTGTATGCCATATTCTATCACTTCCACAGTACTCACCTCTCTTTTTCTCTGCTTTTGTGTCTGTCTGTCTCTTTTACCTCTGTGAAAAACTCTTCTTATACCCCTCTCGAATTTTTCTCACTTTGATATTCCACCCCTCTGTGAAGCCCGAAGTCAGCTAAAGGGCTCATGATAATTATCAAGACGCCTGCTAAGTTTGTTTTTTTCCCAAGCCAAGCTATTAAGTTATGACTGCTAAACTGTAGGAACTTTTCAATAGATGAAGCTCACGAGTGAGGTCGAGAACTTTTGCCGCAAGTGTCCGGACAGTTTCTTCAGTAAAAATCTCCTCTAAAGCTTCTTCATCGTCAACTTCATCTTGACTGAAAGAGGAAGAGGACAATTAGAGGGAAGACCAATAATAGCGCAAACCTACTCAGCAACCTTGACCGCAGCCCAACTTTTACTAACCTTCTACAAGAAGAGAGAAATTAATTGATTGAAGAGATAGAACCTGACTTACTTGATACAGGGCATCAAGAACGTAGGGCATAAGAGGAACAAGGGCAATGCCTATGTACTGCGCTGGACAGAACTCGACGTATGGAATAATCATACCACCTACAAATACAAATACTCTGAATAGGATTGTATTGATAAACATCTATTTTGGATAGAATAGTATCACCACTGAACCTCGTTGCCCCCAGTCCTTTCATTGCTGAACCGCTGAGGCAGAAATGTTAAAGACTGCTTGACAAAATATCTTAGAACTAATGTGTCTTTTTAGCTTTCCAAGGAAAATAACGAGGCGATCATTTAATATTTCCAGTTTAATTTCCAATTGGCAATAAAAGGCCAAGAACTGGTTTTCAGAATATGTAATGCAAGTGAGCATTAATCTATGTGATTAACCACTTCAAATTGTCCAAGACCATTGTAAAAAATTATTACGAAACTTGACTTGTGCGGAAGGAGGGTGCATTGGAGATGCTCGAATGAGAAACTCGCGTTCAACAGTTCCCCTTTTTATGACCAAAATTGACCAGCATGGTTGAAAATCCATATCGCTGGATGTGAACAGGTGGATCCTAATCCCGTGAACACCAATATTTTACAGGTGTAAGTTAATCGCAGACTCTTTACGTAGCCTACATAAATAGGCCCCAACGGAAAGCAACAACTTCATATACCACAATCGAAGGACTGAATAGTAAAAGAACATACGCAAAAGTTGAAGTTGCCTGAAGTCCGGCATTCCGAGCAAATCAGGACAGAGATAATTGCAAAGGAGGTTGCCCAATTTTTCAGTTGACATAGCATAGATTTTTGATGCAGAAATCATCAATATCGATTTGCAAATATCTAGACTGCTGGTGTAGAGTTGAACTAAAAAGGATTGTAATTTAGAGGGATATGTTTGCGTCAGATCCTGGTAGTCTGATGTTATTCGGTTCTGAAAGGGCAGCAAGAAACAATATTGATTAAAATTACACAAAAGAGAAGTACTGGAAAGCGAGTTTCTTAACAGAAAGACCATTAGAGTATAGCATAAAAACGAGATTTGCGAATTTTAACTCGCCTCATCTGACTGTTTCACATCTGAAATTTTGAGATCTGTTTTAGTCAATTGAAGTTTATCGGCGCGATTTACACTAAATAGCGAATGCGTAGAAGGATGACATTTTTGAAGTGTCTCAGGCAACCATAGATTATGCAGTACTCTACCAGAAAAAGAAATAAATCATTTAGTACAGTCAAACTTCGTAGATACGTTATAGGAGTTTATTAAAAGGGTGCTAACTTGAGCAAATTGAATGCTGGGCTGGTGAGTGACTCAATAAGAGGCATAGCGACATTCTCACACTAAAATAGAAAATAAGCTAGCTACTTAAAACGATTAAGTAGGATGATCTTTAAAACATTAGGTACTAACCTGTTCTTCAGAAAGTGTCTCGCGAAGTCTCTTCAAAATAGACGCTGTGGCCGAAGAAGTCCATTGAAGCTGTAATCGAGTCACCTCCCTTTCGACTAAGCAATCAGTATTTCGTTTAACTAACTCTATGTCTTGTGTAAATCCAAAGTATTCAAGGAGTTGAAGTAGGCCTCCTTTAGTTCCTTGTTCACTCTCTTCTAGACTGAAAGCCACAAGAAAGCTCTGCGGGTTAGACCAGTCGGAAAGAATTCCAGAAAGTATGCTTGAGAGCTTGTCTTTTTGTTCTGCATAACTGCATGGTAGACGAAGTCTGAAAGAATAAAAAAGAGATGGTAATAGCAAAATTCGAATTGTTCATACAAGACTATTAAGCAGGGATACCAGCAAAAATGAACGAATAATAAAAATAACATTCCTTGATGCATCTACACACGATTCAATTTTGCATTTAAAAAAAACAGCTGCTTCATTGGTGAAGCGATTAGAGTATACACGACTGTCAAGGAAGAGATTACAGGTATGAAACTGATCAGGTGTGCATTTCACATAAGTTAGGATAAAGGAAGCTAATGAATGCTCAGTAAAACATCACCTTCCTTCCTTCGAATCCCAGGTGTTAGTTGGTTCTAAATGCTAAAAAGATTCCAGAAATGACAATGGAGCAATTTTTCAATAGCAAGAGTTGTGAACTTTATGATGCTCACCTATTTCAGATCTCAAACAAATAAGAATCTAGTTTAAATGCGTCTCAATGAAAATATAGGTGATTGCAAGCATTTGTTAATGAAAATAACTGCCAATTCCCTCCCCCCCCCCCCCACCCCCCCCCCCAACCCCCACCCCAAACACCGAAAAGGCTACTACTTGACCAGAATAGAATTTTTAAGTTTCATGACTTTGTAAAGGACGCATTAGAGATAAAAATTATAAAAAAGGAACATTGCTAGTTGAAAACAACGAGATACATCTTTTTCTTTCCTCTTACTTCCAGGTTATACTTTAATAAGTAACACAATCGATAATTATTTCATTAAAATTAAACACAATAAGCAAATGGATGCATTTAATGTAATAACGCCTCAGGATACACTGTTACAAAAAGAATAGGTAACAGTTCCAGGAGGTGTAAAATCGCTACAAACAAGGACGCACAAACTGCAACTTTCTACAACTTTTAGTATTCAGCTAACATCTCCGAATATGGATATTGGGCTTAAGTCTGCATTCCATATTGTAATTAAAACCAGGAGATTTTAATTTACCGCTTGATTTTTCCCCGGCACAACTTACGCAAGGAAGACAACCACTTCAAGAAGTAAACACTGCTCGGACAATCCACCATGTCGATTCGTCCAAATATCACTAAGCTCCGAACAGAAGGAATCAAAATATGGCTAGAAGGAAAATACAAAAATATTAAAAGTAGAATCAACAATGTATACTCTGGCTAGACACTAAGAATTTATGTATTAAACGCACTAGCATGGCAGCGGGCTGCGATCGAACAAGACGGAGAATATTGATCCCAATAGATGTGTGGAGATCTCGGACAACTGGAGAGCGGAGATTGATTAAACTAAGCAACTGGGAAGGCGGAACAAGGGCAGATTTACCCGCAGGAACTGGCGCCTTAGGGTTATATCTCAAACTGGTGAATTCCTAAAAGAGATTTTACTTATCAAGCAAATAAAAATTACCTTTGAAACAGAAGCCTAACTATCATTAATTATTTTAGTACAATTCCGAACTCAAATTTCCAAATCGATAGAAATAAAATCGATTTTCTTCGATTTCCAAACAGAATAATCACCAATTCTCTGAATATTATTCACAACTCAAGCTCTAAAGCTTGCTAAATTGATTATAGAAAGTGCTTAAAGGAATTCCATTCACTAGGGATGTATCGATGAGTATATCTAGCTCATGGCCCCTGAAGACGTTTAGGTTGAAGCTGTGACACAGGCATACTAGAACCTTCGATTAATTAAGTGTCCTCACTGGCACACAACTCTACTTTAGGTTGTGAATGAAATGATACACTTTCTAAGTAAGGCGACAAGGAAAATCAATCTTCAATCACGAGTCTTTTAATCCTCGCCTTCTGCGACTAACCTACCGTAGTTGCGGAACACTTCAGTGTCGGGCTGTATTAAATAGGTGACTAAATAGCTTTGTCTTTGTCTTAGCCAAATTCTCCGGATCCAAACACCAGACCACAGCTGCCCTCTTCTTCCAAATCGATTGAACCGAAATTATTTAAAGGCAACTGAGGAGTAAAAGATCAATCATTTATAGAAGTAAGACGAACTATAGTAAACCAACAACATTATGAGCGAGAATTAAGCGATATTATATTCAATAACCATGATCATAAAGTTAAGCTCTACATTGAACGAAATGAAGTGATAGGGCCGATCATCTGAATCAAGCAATCAATAGACAATAAGAAACGAGAAGAATCGACAAGAATTCGCACAGTAACACAGGTGGAGAATCAGTAAATTAGAAGTTCAACATGAAGTAGGGAACCAATCATTGAGTGAATATGACAACCCGAAAATAAAAATTAAAACAGAAGCCATTTTTAATATTCAGATTTCGATCCTCCTCAAATTTAGTCCTTAACGAAATTTATAATTACCGGGTTTGAGCTACTTCCTTGAGACAAATTTGTCAATTGACTAGTCTCCCAGCAAAGTCATAATTAACAAAATGTGGGTATTTCTTCAGAACATCCTTTTTAGTGAGAGGAGCAGACCTACCATCATAAGCAATTTGAGAGAGAATTCCTTTGCAGCCTCCGGGCAAGCCATGACCATGGTGTGAAGGACACCCAGATACCACTCCCTGATCCCTGGATCCTCGGGGAGATTTGAAGAGGCAGCGTTGAAACAATCTCGAAGGTGGATGAGAAGAGTGTTGCGTACAGCAACTTTATCTGGAGGCTGTGAAATGGCGACGTTGTCATCGCTTGAACAAGCACAGGCGACTGTCTTCTCCATTGCGAAGTTTAAGCCTTCCCATTGTTGCACAAGGGAGGATGACTGTTTGACAAAGGGATATCCGGGGATAACTAGATCTATCAATAAGATAAACACAATAATTAAGTCAAAATTACAATTTGAAAATATCTCCATAAATGCCTAGAATAATTAGTCCTTCAAGGTGGTTCACTATTATAATATCGTAAGTAAGTTCTCGAACGCAAGACAGTTATTATATCTTCAAAATAGACCTTCTATTCGACAGGTGCAAATAACATTAAAGAAAAATTAAAAGAACTGCCCCAAAAGATTTTGAACAAAACCAGTTTAAAAGGAAAAATAGATAGAATAGATACTAATTCCATAAGTGTAACTAATGCGAGAGATATAACTCCCACTTTGCAGCTTGCATACGGAAGACTTTAGTAGGTACTGGAAATAACCCTTACAGACTTATTTTTTACATTCCGGCCAACTGAAATTCACCACCATTTTTCTCCCAAAAAGTAAGAATCATCTGTTCTAAAAGAATCTCAAGTTCATCTGGGAAAGCGTTTTCGAAACCTCGTCGTATGAAAAGAGCGATCACAGCCAGACCTTTGGCGATGGGAATCACCTCCGTGACCTCCAATAAAGAAGACGTCCGCGGTGACCGATGGGCAATGATCTTTCAATTATCTCTATCTTTAAAATATGTGGAACTGCTTTTTGAAGAAATTGCACTCAGATAATCATTCAGATGGATTTGTTAAGCAATCTTAAAATTATTTAACAGTCCCAATATTTTACCAACGAAATAGATGCACGCAGTCATTCATGTTAGTTTAATAGCCTAGTGTATTCAAAGACCAGTACTTAAATGACTCAAAAGTGAGATTTTAGTAAACTGGGACCCATAAAAAGGGAGAGAGAGAGGGTTCCCTGTCTTGCAAATAGTTAAGGGATATGCAGCTGATAATTTGCAATTAAAACCCGGAGTGGACTGGAGATCTTACGCACACAGATTTAGAACCGCATAACCAACAGTAGACTCACAAGTTAAACCAAAGGGACATCTTTATAAAAGAATAAACTCACCACTCAGCTGAGGAGAAAGACTCAAGCAACGCTTGTGCCACTCAATTAAGTAACCAATTACTTCCGCGGGCCAGATCGAGGCCGCAAGGTAAAGACAATTTGACTTCAAAAAAGCTCTCATTTCTGTAAAAAGAAGATAAAATATATCCACCCCATTAAAATAATCGAAGATTTACCTGCCATTTTAGCCGAATAATGATCCTTTTCATAAGTAGCGTGTATCCACGAAGACAATGGGTAGTTTGAACTTGGAAACGGTTCCTAAAATGGAAGAGATATATTAAGATAGCATACATATATCCTACCAGAACCATACAATCCATCCAAATGAGTAAAAGTTTCGGCATATGTTTAGCAAGCAACGTAATGACTGAAGATTCCGAAGAAGAAAGAATTGATTTGAAAAACCCACGAGCTTGGTTGATAAATAGCTAAATAGGAGTCACAGTAATGCTATCAAAAGCCTACCCTAGATGGATGACTAATTGCAAGCACATTCGCTTGAATAAGAAGGTCAAAGGCTTGCAAAGATTGCCTTCCATTAATTTCAAATTTTTTCCAGTCCTCCACTACAAGAACACCAAGTCGAGATATGAATTCACTCCAGCGATGCATAAAAATGCAAAGTGGTTCTTCAAAATCTGAGGTGGCAAAGGCAGCTTGAGAGATTTCAAGAATTGTTTCGATAGGATTTTCACCATTAGCTGAATAGAAACGCTGATAAGCTGGAACCGAATCATTTGCTTTATTCCCGCCTGTGATGGGCTGCTTTTTGGTCAGTAAAACGATCAAAAACTCTGCAGTGGCAGTTCGTAAATTTGGCAGGCGAAGAAGAAAGAGAAAAAGGCTAATGGAAGGAGAGATTTTGAAAGAATTAGGTGTCATTTGATCAGATGGATTCCATTCAAAGAGGGGCTTGAGATGGCACCACTCATAAAGAGCTGTGAGCAAAAAGAGGCCGGAACGCAGACACCGAGTAGTATCATCATCGAAGTCTCTATTCTGAGAGGAATGCAACTTTACGGCAGAATAAATGCAATCAAGAGTGAAATTGGAGATTTGTTGAAGGTTATCCGCTAGTGCAGTGCTCAATTCACGACGTCGTTTAAGTGGAACATCTTGAAAGAAGAGAATATCCTCCGAAAGACGACGGAATATGTCGAACACAACAAGAGCTTGGAGATTCTAAAACTAATTATTTACTGAATATTGATTAGAATACCCCAGCTTGTCCAAGGGAAATAAGTTCCGGAACCATATTAGGCCACTGCTGAGGCCATTCACATTTAATTAAATGCACCATTATTTGAGCAATTACCAAGCATACAGCGTTACCTTCGCTATTGCGACAAACCATATTTTCAAACTACAAAGTAAGTGACAAGTCTGCAAAAATAAAACTTAAATTACGTTAGTTACGAAGCAGCAGACACATTGTCGAACAGCCTGTTTCTCTTCAGAAGATAAATTTGCCCATGTTCGTCTGATAATATTAGCATGATCAAATAAAAACTTACTTCACTTTATGTTCGAGACAATTTAAGCCAAATATAACTACAGGTGGCTCTTGATCAGAAGAACAGAGCGTATTAAGATCTTCAAGCTTAAATAAATGGTCCTTGTAGGACTCTGTAACTTGGTAATAGTGATTACGCTCCACATTGGATACATTTGGAGAGAATATCTTCTTGAGATAATCAATTACTTGATCGAGACTAACTTCTCCGGTCATTAAAAAATAAACATGGGTAAAATCTGATTGGATCAAATAGGCAACCTCAACCTAGCTTCTAGTACAATGGCAAGTTAAAACGCTTTATATTAAATCAATGGAAATTATCAAGTAATAGATATAAATAACTATACCTCTTATCTTATTAATTTGTGCCTGGCTTGACAAGTTTATTTTAATAATTGTCTAGTTTTCTATGTTGTTAATATTTATGCTATCTTTGTCAACTCTACAAAATTATGCTAAACCTAAGAAATCTTATTGATATAGAAAATGTCTTTAAGATATGTATTAAATCAAAAAGAGGGTAGGATTTTTCAACGTTGTAATAATTATCTTAATAAGATAATTGAAAAATAATTTTTGTTTTATATAGTCAAAATGGTTCTAATGATGTTGTAGTCATATATAAGACAAATAAATAAAAATGATATAAATGGAAAAGGAACGGAATAAATAGGTAGGTGTAAAATGAAAAGCAAGGTTTGGAAATTATATTGTACATATTCAAAAAATGTTTTATTGGAAAATATGGCCTTACAGTAAATTTTGTCAACAAACCAGTGCATTCAAAAATAGGTCATGTGTTATTTTCAACTAATCTAATCATTTGATTTTATTCTTGCAAGCCGTGTCCGTGGGAAATCAAGCACATTATTTGCTTTTGACAGAATGGTCAAAGTTGGAATCGAAAGAAAAAAAACTACCTTTATATGGAACATTTTATTCAGCAAAAAGTAATGCACAGGCACAATTTTGAATAATATGTTGACGACACAAGAAAATTTAGTTTAAACCCCTTTTTATTCCTTTTCTTGAAGCAAATTTAGGTGATGCTTCAGCAATCGAAAGACAGCTCATGTTTATTTACATCTGGCTGTTTGAAACGATTGACTGTCCAGCAAATATCGATTCCCAAGACAGCTCAAATGATGTCTATCATCACACCCAGTCACCAATGAAAAGACACTAATGACGACTAAAAAGAAAGGCTTAACTCGCAAAACAAATTTACCTATCATTAAATTGGAGTGGCTCCTCAGGCCTCGTCCTATTTATCTATTTACTTCGTATCGATTATGTGAGAAGGTTATTATAAATATAATATTATTTCAAATGACAGGCTTTATGATATTCATCATTGGCCGCTTAGTTGACTTCAGCTTTCCCCGTGTGTGGAGGGTACATATATAGCAGTCACTTAATAGCAATTCATTAGCTGTCTTCTTGCTTCCTAGTATCTTTGGGTTTCCGTCGTTGTCTTTAGGGCTCGATGCCGAATCAGGTGGGTCTTTTCCATTTCCTCCTTAGGTTACATAGAGGGCATGTTGGCTGAGTGTATACGCCTAATCTGTGGAGGTGTTTTGCCAGACCATCGTGCCCAATACGTAGTCTAAACTCAGCAACGGTTTCGATTCTTGGCCAGTCGGCTATGTCGGAAAGTGCCACTGTCCACTGTTTCTCCTAGCTATATCGAAGAGTGCCACTGTCCACTGTTTCTGATTCTTGGCCCGCCGGGTATGTCGGAGAGTGCCACTGTCCACTATTTCTCCTCTATTCGGAGAGTGCCACTGTCCACTATTTCTCCTTTGTTCGAGCTTTGAGTTCGTTGCATCTTGAGGTCTGAAATTCTCTTCTGATCAAGGCCTTCATTGTGTGGAAAGACATCGGCCGGTTTCGAGCTTTAATTTCGTTGCACATTGAGGTCGGGAATTCTTTTCTGATTAAGGCCTTCATTGTGTGGGAAGACCCCGGTCCACAAGGTCTTCATTGTGTGGAAAGACATCGGCCGGTCTATGCATTGCGAAATCGTTGTCCCCTTCTTAACGAGTGTGTCAGCAAGCTCATTGCCTTTAATGCCACAGTGACCGGGAATCCATTGTAGGACCATTGCTTTGTTTTTTATCTCAGCAGCTGATAAAGACTTTTATATTCGTATATCTCAGCTGTTTTGGGTGACGCGATAGGCTTACCTCCACGTTGCGCAAAAAGCCTATTTCTCGGCATTTGACTTCAATTTATTATAATCAGCTTGAAACGAAGCTTTGTGAGAGGGTAAATTTTTGGATGCATACTTAGTCTTTTGTAAACCTACCCATTTTACATAACGGTTTTGAAGATGTTATCTGGCTCTATGGACAAGGGGAAAAGATATATAGCTCGGACAACACTGTATTTTAATAAATCGAATTTCAGCATATAGAATTAGTACAAGTCAAGGTAACATCAATGGTTTTATTAGGCTGGCAACTAAGTCATTGCCGATTTCAAATAAGAAGGCAAATTCGGAATTTTTGTTTAAAAATATAACTTTATTCAATTAGATATTGGCCGTTCTTGTCGATGACCTTTTTCCATCCTTTTGGCAGAGTAAAAATTCCCCGTTCGTAAAATGTCTGGTCTTTGCTATTAAAAAACTGAATTAGGTGTGATACGACATCATCCGCGTTGTTAAAAATTTTACCATTTAAAGAGTTTTGCACGGAACGAAACAAATGGTAATCCGAAGGCGCAAGATCAGGGCTATATGGTGGGTGTGACAAAACATCCCAACCCAGTTCCAATAAATTTTGCCGAGTAACCAAAAATGTGTGGGGCCTTGCGTTATCATGATGGAAAACAGCACCCTTCCGATTTGATAATGCCGGCCGCTTATCTTCAATTGCATCCTTCTTTCAGTTTTTCGAGTTGTTCAACATACCCATTTGAATTTATCGTTTGGTTCTGCGGCATGAGTTCAAAATACAAAATTCCTTTGTGATCCCACCAGACTGACAGCATAATCTTTTTTTGGTGAATCTCTGCTGCTTTTGATACTGTTTGGGCTGGTTGATCTTGCTTCACCCATGATCTCTTGCGAGTAACATTGTTATAAACTATCCACTTTTCGCCTCCAGTAACTAGGTTCTTCAGAAATGGATCATTCTCATTGCGTTTCAGTGGCGAATCACAGATGCTAATCCGTTGCGTCAAATGAATTTCCTTTAACTGGTGAGGGATCCATAAATCAAGTTTCTTGACATAACCAAGGGTTTTAATTTTTTCAATGCATGTATGCGGCACATTGAGCTTCTCTGCAATATCTCGTGTTGTGCTGTGACGATTTGAATCGATAATGGCCTTGATATGGGTTTCATCCACTTCGACTGGACGGCCAGATCGTTGTGAATTTTTCAGTGAAAAATCACCGGAACGAAATCTTTCAAACCAATTTCGACACTGCCTTTCTTTTAAGGCTTCATCTCCATATACGGCACATAGCTTCTTTTGTGCTTGCGATGTGTTCTTGCCTTTTCGGAAGTAATACAATAAAATGTGTCGGAAGTGCACGTCCTGTTCTTTCATTTTTAAATTGGGATGAAAACAAAACTAAAGAACTAAACAAAAAAAATTTTTTACTAATTAACCTAGAAGTCCATACAGTAAGAAAAAAATATAGGTTAGATGCTCTGGCCACGTTAACAAAACAAAAGAAAGTATAGAGTGAAACCGTCAACAAAAACGGCAATGACTTAGTTGTCAACCCAATAATTTAGAGATCCAATGGCCGATAATTCACTCCAGGAAGGTTAGTGTTTATGAGTTTCGATTACTCGAACTACTTTCCAAACAGAAATTGTATGGGGTGGATTCGAATTATTATGCACTATATCTGATACAATTCGTGATTCCCTATCCATTTGTTTATCCATAACTAGAAGACGTCATTTGAGCTGTTTTAAAGATGTAAAAGAGACAGACACAAAGGTAGATAAAAGGCGATGTGAGTACTGTGAAAGTGGTCGAATCTGACGTACAGTGGGGTCATGATAGTTTGAGCTCAGAAGTGAACTGCCGATTTATAGACTTTTTGCCGCATGAGCATACGTTGCCCAGGGTGCACCACACACACCCCCCACGAAGGTATATCATGCATCCGTAAGCGAGTAATACGTTTAGCCATGCCTAAGGTTGATTGAAGTGCTTTGAACAATAACAACACCGACTAATTTTTCATAATTTTCATAAGATCGGCTCCAAAACGACTTTTCAGCACTGGAGTCGTCAAAACTGTCCTCAATTGGACCCATAGAATAGAATAAGTTTCCCATTTCACGGTATTAAATTGATCAAACAAACCTTGTAGCATCACTTTATCCGTTTTTTTACTGATAACATGAAAGCTTAATGAGCGATAACTCAGGAAGAATCTTCTGCACCACACGGGCAGCACGGTATCCCCTACTAGCAGTACTACAATCAATTTTTTAGCTTAAATCTATGATAATAAAAAAAATAAATAAACTAACAAATAAATGCACAAATAATAACTCATTATTATCAGTTATTTGTATATTCTGAACAAAATTAATCGATGAGATTGTTGCGTGGTTAAAATAATCAGTCATTAAAACAAGAGAAGTTAAAAGGTGAACAGAAATTGAATCAAAGCCGACGTCAAGGGTATATGATATGGTGGAGGTAAAGTTAAATGGCCAATTTTGGTAACACAGTCCTTTCACTGGGCGCATAGACTAAAATGGGGAGAAAAGAAATCAATTAACTACTGATTTGTAATGAGCCGAAGGGTTAACTGTTGAAGGTGAGGTAAAATCTGCGTCTAATTGCGTGTTAACTTTACTGTTAGCGAAGTCAGGCGCAAAACTCAAAATGCGCACATAATATCCACGGATTAATTTAAATAATCGATTTTTGGTTAAATGAGGTGTGCGATAGACTTACCTCCATGTGGTGCACCCCGGGCAACGTATACTCATACGGCAAAAAAGTCGATTAATCGGCAGTTGACTTCTGACTTCAAACTACCATGACCCCATTGCTTTTCACATTCGAATAATTCCACAGTATTCACCTCACCTTATTTCTACCTTTGTGTCTGTCTGTCTGTCTCTTTTACGTCT